GCACCATCCTCAACTTGAAAATCTGACAACACAAAGCACAAGTGTTAATATACAGACTACATCACTCATTGTCAGCACTTACCTGTTTTATCAAGCTAACTCTGGGACTGCTTGCATTACAATCAGATAGCGAGAAAAGCAGCCTTAATTATGCTGTCTAGAATGGGCCAGCCACAGTTCATTAAAAAGAGTCAAATTACTAACAGCCTACTCATCAATCTCTGCTTGTTGTTATTCTTCTGATTAGCAGTGCTGTTTTACTGGATTTTTTTCCTGTAAAATGAGAAGTAGAAGATTGAACCATTTAGGGCACCAGTGTTTTTTTACTTGCAAGTCACAATTTCAGATTCAGCTGAAATTGGTCATAACTGAAAGTAGTCTAGCTTTGAGAATGTCATGAGGCACTAGGAGGAAGACTATGGAATGATGTTACAGGAGGAACAAACAAACAAGCAACTTACCAGCTGGCACAGAAGATGCAGTTAACAGTTGCTATTGTACAGCTGCAGCTGTTTGGCTCTGCCAAACTGAAAAGGACCAGCACCAGATGGGCACACTGAGCAAAATATTCCTGTAAGAAAGTGAATGCTGCACTGAGAAAAGCTAGTTGTGGCTAAGCAGTCACCCACAGAAGGGCGACTTGTGTGTGGCAGACCACCTCTGGATCTCACACCCCTTGTTGGCTGCTTGTTGGCCTACCAGTCAAATAATTTGGGATGTTGCAGTCTCCTTTCTAGTGCAGAGAGCTCTCTACATCAAAAAGGGCAAAAAAGACAAAGACAATCTGTATATTTGCCATTCAAGTAGTTAAAAAACTCCCTTGCAGTTTCATCTACCAATTGTGCCCACAAAATAATGTCAGTGGCAGTTCTGTCCTGCCATTTATAACAAATGATGAGGAACTAGTTTCTGCGATGATGCCTATCATAACATACTGCATTTTTTTAAAAATAACAAATTTCTGAGTATATAAAATCTAGTTCTATCCTATATCATATAGTTAAAAAAATCTAGCCAAAATAAAATTTCTGGTCATTAGGATCACTGAACAGGAGTTTAAGAATGCTATGGCTGGAATCTGGAACATGCCTTAACACCTCAATTCTTGTCTGTTAACTAAGAGCAACTCCATTGAAGATGATGGAATTACAATTCAGCATAAAAACAAGTGAGCAAAATTAGATCAGAGATCTTTTCAAGCGGAGAATACACAGAACAGCCATTCAGTTATGTAGAAATTATCTGTACATTAGATATTTATGACCTGTGCCAACTAAAATACTTAGCTAAATAAAATAGTACTAATGGTCTTGAACTAGCCAGTAAAAGTTTGGGACAGGGATTTGACTATAGTAAACAAAACTACTTCACAGCAAGATTTATTAATACATCCAAAAGAAAGAAAGAAATCATTTTGTCACACTATATACAGATAATACATACAGTGTTTTATACACATATTACATCAGTTTTTACACAAGAAAAATATACATAAAAATGTAAACTTTTGTATACAAAAAACCTTAAACAAATTAAACAAGGACCAGATAACAAAAGGAGACCAATCTATTATCATTTCATTGATTTTAAAATGGTAATACAGTACATTCATTGAGAAGTATGAGGAACATGTGAGCCAACTCTTCCTATTTAAAGGGAAAGTACAAACACCAACCTTGCTACCCACCCCTGGAATGCAGTTCTCAAGTGCTTCAGCATTAGTGTGAGTTTCTACAGATGCTAGGGACTGAATATGAAATGACTGTTCTTCCCCATTCACCACATTCTTTAAAAGCAATCTATGTGCAGAAGCAAACTGGACTGGGCTTTTTGCGCATACTAGCTAGTATTATAGCTAATACCATGATACAGGATGTGGCAGTGCAGGTTTGTATGTTCCCTTTAAGCAGTCATTAATGATTTTTTTTAATGTAAATTGTTTATTTTCCCAATGTATGGCGTGTTGAACACATCTGTTTGTTGGGGTAAAAGGGAACAATGAAAGGGGTACAGAGACTGCTAATCCTTGCTACCATGCAGTTACTTCAAAATCAGTTATGTTTGCAAGCCGTGATTCACTGGTTTCAGTATGCACTGCCCTCACCTTTGCTTTCCCACTGCAACTTGTTTACATTTTTAACTCTAGTGGCCAACTGTTGTTATGAGGCTCTTTGTTACAAGGCTGTTTCTGATATCAGGCTGTGATCAAGCTACCTTTAAAATGACACAAACACCAACTTCTATTGGACAGCCTTAAAGAGAGTGCATTGTTCCATTCAAACATTTCAGATTGTCCATTTGCCTTCTTTTCTATCACATCTAAACAAAGAGATTTACTACTAATTGTTCAAAGCAACAGCATTTTAGTTGTCATTCATGTCTCCCCACCTGCATACAGATGTATTGGTTGGGGGGAAAATGAAAAGGTGAGAAAACAATTGCAGAAATTCTTTGAAAAAAAAAAAAAGTCCTAGTGATGATCTTTCATATTAAATAAATTAAAAGCTTGTTTATGGAAATTCACCCTCTACAAGGTAAGTTAAGTGTGACACAATAATAATGAGCTGACATTTTCCCTGCAGAGGCAGGAGAATATTAGTCTCCTTAGTGAAATCAGCATTATTGAATGTGGAAAGGAAAAAAAATATTGGTCAACGAAAAATATGGATTGAAACATTTTACGGAACACACACATTTTATAATTGGTTAAAAATGAAAAAACCTCATTACAGCCTTAACTTTAGAAAATTCAAAGAGAAATAAGCATGTAGAAACTGGTGTTTCCATCTCTTTCTTATGCCCATATAATGAATGGCAGTTTTGTAACACTCACCTTTCCAGATAAAAGACAATTACAAATATCTTTAGATAATTAAGAGTCTCCTTTTTTAAATAAAATTTTGATGAACTACTTTTTTCATTTATTACATATAATGCAATTTCAGTGAAAATATTCCAGAAGGGACATCATTTTGATAAATGTAAAAAAACTGCCAACCAAGATACACACATATACATGTGTATACGCAGGATAGCTACACTCTATGTACATATTTAATACACATATGCATGAGTATATATCAGGAGAGAACCAGTGTGTTGGTTCTCCACATTAACATAAATTGAAATACTGTGTAATATATATGCGTGTACATAAATACACACACAGTACACAGACATCATACCCATACACAGGCCCCAACATATGTAATATAGAACTCTTCATGTACGAGTGCATGAAAGCTTAGCTAGAACATTACATAGGTTATATTACCCTATAGAACTGCAGGGAAGACAACATTCCAGAGATGAATTGTGACAAAATAATGCCACATTAATATTAGAAGTAATTAGACTCAATGACAGAATTAGAATATTCTCCTCCATCAAAACTGAAGTACAGTAAGCCATGGGTTGCAACAGCGCTCCAAATGTGACCAAGCTGGCTTGTAACTGTTATTATGCTCTAAAAGGTTATGGAATCTCTAGTTAACCAGAAATGAATTAAAATATTTAATAAAAAAGAAATACAAGAGCTGCCTGAATAAGTCAAATAATTTAAATATATGAATAGATGCAAGATAACAGATTTAACCATTTTAATGGCTAACCATAAAGTTACTTTTATTTTTTTAATCTGTTGAAGGTAGAAGAGAGCTGTATTTCTTTTGATACATCTGATGTATTCACTAACATGGAAAAGAACATTAGGCTGCAGTCTCTTTGTGGCTTTAGGCCTTTATGGATTCATTATGGGAAACAAAATATGAATCTTCCCTTATCAGGAAAGAGAAACAAAAGGATTGATTTTTAAAAAAAAACCCTATTTTTGTCTTATAAATGCATATTGTTAATTCTAACCATGTGGTTAGGTTAACTTTTCAGATAGCAGCTTGTATATCTTTTTTTTTTATTATGTTCAGAATGAAGAATAAAAAATGGTCAGAGACATAAATCACATGCTGTTGAAAATGTGGAAAGTTCTGCATTTAAACAAACGATCAGGACAGCTGAGAGTGACCAACCAGGGTATGATTCAGCTGCTGCTGCTGCAGTCAAAAGGAATATTTTTATCGAGTTGAAGGAGGGCTGAATCGGACCCTACAACAATGAAACTGATGGAAAGTTAGATTTTGCAATGTTGGGGCAGGAGAGTAATTGAGATGAAGGTAATGGAACAGAGCTGCAGAAGAGGTGGGTATTGGCAGAGGCCTCACAGAGTATTAACATAGCATAAATGTAAGCAAAAATGTCTGAAGGAAATTCCATTTTGAGGATTCATAGAAGATCGATGATGACAGGACTCAAATCACAGCAACTGAGATCATCCAAATCCCTCAAAGGAACTAGAAGCAACAGTGTCAGACAAGGCTGTTACCTTTTACACACATTTTGTGATCTCTCACACACACATATACATATTATATAGAGTGTACGTGTGTGATATGTATGTACAGTCTATTGCATATGCATATCTACACACGTATGTACAGATTTAGATCTGTTACTTTTATATGCATTTGTTGTACAATAGTAGGGCAAGTCCACATTCATATGCATCTTTCTGTACAGGTATACACAAAATGGGTCTATTCTTTCCCAAAAATTCATAAAGTGTTTATGCTATTTACACTGATAATTCCCATTACCATTAGGTAATGACAGGAAAAGGCCTCAAACAATTTCCACCTCCCTACCATTTTACTTGCATATGTGCAGGAAGAAGAAAAAACAAACCATGTGGAAAAGGCTGGAAAATGTAGAAAAACTAGTTCAATAGAATTAGATTTGGTTTACAACTGCTTTTCTCTTTTAAAAGTTTTGGAAAAACGAATGAAAAGATCTTTGCAACATTAAAAACCTGTTATTAAAACAGAGCTTCCAAGTTACAGGGTTTTCATGATGCAAAGTAATAGCAACAGAACACACACTTACGATTTTATTCTTTTCAGCCTGGATAGTGTAATGATGACTACTAGGATGAGGAAGAGCGCGAAGAGCGTAAGTAGGAATGTTATGTTTTTTCCTGCATCTCAGCTAAGAACTCTCGTAGAGGTAAAATTTCTCTCAAATGATGAAAAAAAATGGCCATAATTTATTTTTAGGATTTTACAGCACAAGTGAAACTCCCAGGATTTAAAATAGAATTTGTTTTGTATAAATTGAAGCTCCCCAATAGCAATGTCATAGGGTGAAAATGACACACGTGGACCTCTTTAGGAAAAAAAAAGCAGACTACTTTAGAACAAAACCCTTTAAGAGAATGGAGATCAGTTCATAAACATCACCTATCACAAATCTTTTGAATCTGAAGACACAAGTACAACTGATTGGCAACATTTTCTAAATCAGAATATTATCATAAAGGTACAGTAATTCCCATATATACCCATGCCACCAAATATATATCTTCCATTTCAAATTTTCTTTAAGAATACCACTCCCACATCTTCCCCTCTACTTCCCAAACATTTAAAAAAAGGCTGTCTTGGGAGCCTGGTATTTTCATGACATTTTAACAGGGCTCAATGCAATTCAATCAAAAAGAATAAAATCAACATGATATCAGAGTTAGCCTTATAACAGAAGACTATGTAGTAGAGAGTTTGGTTATTTATACAATAGTGAGGACATAATAACCCCCTACTAAATATTCACATTTCTACAATACATTCCGTCACCTCTCAACTACGTTTCTCTTTACAAAACTATGACCTACATACAATATACACATTCATATCACACATACATCCCCCCCAATGCATATTTTTTGTGTGTGTATATAATACATACATGCACACAAGCAGTCTAATTCTATATATAAGTCACAGTGGGAATTCCTTTGTGAGAAAAGGAGGGGAAAAGTTCCTGAATAAGACACTGTGGATTCCTAGATTTAATGTTCTGTCTTTTCAAATTCCAACTCACAGAGCTAACTGGAATAAATACATTAAAAAAAAGTCTTACAGACTTGGCTTACAGCTTCCAGCTACAGTAGTTGGATTTTTAATTTGATCTATTTACCCTGTAACTAAACTTCTAACCATCATAGGTACAAACCACAGATAAATTATTGCAGAATGTAATATTCAAAAAAAAAGTTACAGGAGCAGTAATATAAGGGGTAAAAAGAGTCTATGTTTTGTTGATATAGGATACCATTTTATTTATTTATATATATATATAATCTGCAAGGTAGCAAAGAATAGCTGTACACCTTGACACGGCAAAGATCCAGTGTAAAAAGGTGCTTCACTAGTTTTTGTTTCTCCAAAAAAGCTTGTATATAATTTTATAGCTATTAAAAACACATATGCAACATAATTCATTACACTCAATACAGCTTTAGTATAAAACTTATAATTTATGAGGTGATGTTAATAGCATAAATTAATATACCATTTCTCTTAAAATCTACAATAAGTATTCTGAAAGCTCATTGGGGAAGGGTATCTTTAAATAAAAGTTTAAAGCTGAGCGTGATGAAAAAAGATTCTGTATGTTGAACTTGAGATGAGAGCCCCGAGAAGAGAAAGAGTCCCTAAGCCAGACACTGTGGACTATAAAACTGAACAAGATTTCTCTTTTTTGCGCTCTCACATAGATGACGCTCTACCTTAAATTATTATTTACTTCTAAAACTATTTACTTTTTATGTTAACTGCCCTTATTTCCGCAAGGAATCCCTGAGACATACCCAAAACTGTACAGTGAAAATAAATCACTGTTCAGAGAAACTGGTTCAACCCCTTCTAAATAGGTGTAGATTCTTTATATGAGAACCAAACTGCCCATCACTTCGGCATGGATCTATTTCCACTGGAACCAACTATACTTTAAGATGCAGGTTAGAGAGTCATTTCAGGGTAAATCAGTCTGCTCCAAAGTAGATACAATAGTGTAGCAATGAGTTGCATTAAAGCAATCTTCACCACAGTTAGTTTTCGGGGAGATGTTTAGGAATACTGCCTAGCTGGAGTTGACTTCAGTGAGCACTGGCTTAAAAGAAACCTGAAGGTGGGCAAAATATTACCATTACTAGACCAAGTTCAACATGTGTATTCAATTCATACCCATATGCTGTGTGCGTGTGTATGTATGTGGTATGTGTATGCTGCGGAGGGCTATGGGGGGGGGGAATAAAGAATGCACCACCGTACACTGAAGGTATAGTTGTAAAATCCAAAGCCTAGATTTTATACTATTAATTTTCAAACTGAATTCTACGAGCCAGGGAAGACGAACACGTGCACTTCAGGTTATCTAAAAAAGTGGGGAGTGAAGGGAAAAGAATGACAAGGTAATTTTTCCAAATGCTGTCTCCATACTGCAATGCAAAGCCTGTTTCCTTCTTCTGCACTTCCACTACATAGCCTCATTACACGATGGCAAGAAAAGCAGAACATGTGAAACCAGAATAAAATAGGGGGGAAAAAGCAAAAAATTCCAACCTGCAATATGACAATCAAATATAGGAACGTTTTTTAGGTTTGCTTAGATACTAAGTCTCCAAACTCAGCAATTATTCTTCCACCTAGAAATGCAGTCCCCAATGGCTAAAAAAATTGTCATCTCCTGTTGCTGTAATTTGCTTTCCTTTGCCAATGGGAAGCCTCATTCTACCCCAAAATATTAGTACACTTAAACAGTATATTTGCCTCATTTTACTAGGGTTTGTTTTGTTTTTTTAACTTTTTGCTAGAACTAAATACCTTCATGAATCCACTCTAAAAGATTTGGTTTAATTCTGTTAAGTAGGAAGGCTTTTCCATCATTGTATCCACCCCTAACTTTCGTAGGACTCCTGCTGTGGGTATTTATGACACTTTTTCTTTAACAAAAAAGATACAAAGAAGTTTTCTAGGCGATTTTCTACCAATAACTTACCTTAAAATACAAGAAACTTCTGGGAAGAAAAATGCTCATTTAACTTTCTTGAGCATGCACATTTTCTCTCCCCTCCTGGTGACAAAACCTACACAGTATTCTCAGCAGCTACTTCACAATATGCCATGAGATATCATTTTACTCAATATTCTCATCTATTGCACCATAGCTCTAGGCTCCAAACTTTTATTATGAATCTCCAACACAAAACTGTGTTAAAAGGCAAAAAAGCAAGCAAAAAATGAAAGAAACCCTCTGATTCAAGCAACACCTTTGGAAGAAAACCGTACCTAAGGATACTCCTTTGCCTATCTCAAGAGTATGTCTTCACTGCAAGCTTAGTCTGGACTCTTAATTAGGTGTTGCCCCTAACCTCCTTCCTGTCTGCATACACAAGAAATTATTCAGACTTTTAACCCTGGCCAACTGACTAAGGGGGTGGATTAGAGCCTGACAGTCCTTCAGTATCTTCCCATATATCCTCCTCAAGTGCCCAAAAGCTCACAAAATTTCACTAGAAAAGAGCTCAACCTATTCCAGCACACAGCACTATGAGAATTGGCCCAGAAGTTCTCATGACACAACCGGAAGAGCCTAACACCCGTGATGACGCTGTAACTCGGATAGGGCTTTGCAGTACGACTGATGACAGTTGGGTTAAGATGACCTACATGTCCATTGCTTGAACTAACTCTGCAGTGAAGATGCCCCTTCAAAATAATTCATTTTCATCCTCCTTCAGGACGTTCTTTCTTCCCAGCAAAGAAAATCAAAGCCGAATCGGATGTGGGAGGGGGTCAGAGAAAACTGTTAGAAATTAAGTTCTGTTCTGAGTTCCTGAGTACATTGTAGGGAGCAGATCCTCAGGTAAATTGGTGCAGTTCTACCAGAGCCAACCAAGATGACTCACTGATCCCCTGCTGAGAATCAGACTTGATTTCTAAACACTGGGATCACTCTGGGTGCATCTACACGAGACACTACTGTGCAGTAGCAGTGAGCTATTGTGCAGTAGCGTTGGCAGGCACTAACCATGATGCGACGCTACTGTGCAGTTGATCATTGCTACTGAGCAGTAGTGTCTGAGAAAAACCGCGGGGACGCTACTGCGCAGTAACTGCGGTTACTGCATAGTCCGCCGCACATGCAGACGCAGCCACTGAGAATGACAGCTAGAAAAAGAAAATCATGCAGTTGGCAATGCACCTCCCAGTGAAACTGTTATTTTTAAAACAAAGAAGATCCCCCCACTGCTCTCAATCATTCATAACAGAAGAGACATTTCTCTTGCATTTGTACTTCCAATCTCATCTCCAATATTTTGCCCAGTAGGTATAAACTTCTCAGGAAACAACCATAGAAATAAGAACTATGAATTACAAAGAAAACAATCCCTCATTTCATTAACCTGCTGCATGCCACCAAGGAGCCTATCTTTTGTACAGTCCATCACTCAACGGGTTAAGCAGAATTACAATCTGTTTTTTCTGAACAAATATTTTAACATTTAAACATTAGCAAAAGTTGTACTGATGTGTAAAGAAATAAGGCAATCAGCACAATAGAGGAAACAAAACAGCATCATGACAAAAGGGGAGGGCTGAGATGATGCAACTTTTTAGAGATGCTTCTAATAATACAGCAAGTAGTAGAGGCAATGAATCAGTTCCAGACTCTATCCATACACAAATGCAACACCTATTAATGCCAATGGGAGTTAGGCCTGCTCATGACACTGCTGTTTGCTCAATAAATTAAAAGGTAAAGGCACGCCATATGAACATTAACTGATACTACTTTATAAACCAGGCTGGCATTGCGCGATCCCTCACTGGCCTCCACACATTGTCCTGGCAAAACTAATTGTGTCACGACTGTAATTTCTTTCAAAGATTAGGCTTCTGTGCTAAGACAAACTGATATTACATTACCACCAGAAATAACATTATTGCTTAGTGTCATTTTGTTCTGTGCCAAATTCTTTTTCATTCTATAAAACCTGAACTTTACGTAAAGAAATTAACCCTTGGGCTACACAAGTTTTATTCCACTTGTTTTCTGCACAAGTGGCATATAAATATCAAGTGTTCAAAATGAAAGGGTTAGAACTGCTACATGGACTCTTTGGTGAAAGAGGAATTTTGTGCTAATTGCTGTATTATAGAAGGTATACTTTCCTTGAATGCTGTTGGGGAACTATATTAAAAGGCCATGTGAAACCTCAGGTGGAAAAATCTTAATTCCTGGAGAGACAGGAATGAAATGTCTGGCTACATAAGCCCCCAGTCCTTGAGCTTACTGCTTCCAGCATTACTTGGGTGGTGATCCTGTTAGGTGAACAGAACTCCAGTGAAATCAACAGGCTCTCTGTTGAAGTTGAGATTCACTTGCACAGAGCTCACTGAACATTTAGAAACTGAAATCCTAACTGCTTCCTAAACTGCAATGTCCTAAAGTTGATTACATTTAAATCTGTTGAACTGAAGCTGCAACTAACAACAATCTTGACCATTTCAGGAAAAATACACACGGATCTCTATTCTAATACATGCAAATGAAAAACTATATTTAAAAAGTGCAAATTTATTCCGCTCACTGAAAAATGTTATGCAGTTGATGTTTAGGCAGAAATCACCAAGGGATGCATGAAACTGAGATTTAAGGAGGGGATCTTTAAGCTGCCTTAAGGGAATTTGGGTACATAATTCTGGCTGATTTTAAACAGAAATTATTAATCTTAATTTCTTTAGGCAGTTTTGAAAATACCAGCCTAAACAAATTATTGCGTTACAGGCCAGGCTCTGTTCTAAGTTACACTGGTGTAAATCCACAGTAACTAAATTTGACTAAAAAATGTTCCACAATGCCTACCATCATAAATTGAAAAGAGAATCTGGCCTTTAAGCATGTTTTTCACTGTTTGAAAAAGTGGAGTAAGAAGGGCTGCTGCTGTTCCAGATCAAATTTTGATGAAATACAAACAGTATTTCATGGAACTAGTCACTTGAATCGGTTCACTTTAACATGCTGTAAAATAACTATAGGCAGATTTAAGAACTGACCTCTACATGTTTGTTCGCCCTTCTTTTTCAGCCAGTAATCCCAAACATTGAAGAAGGTATATGATACAGTGAGAAACATCTGCAAACAAAATATCTGTTTCCTCAGTAGTATGGGGGGCAGCACGCAAAAAAGGCAATACAGAAAAAAAAATCCAGTCAGCTTTGCTTCATTTCACAATACCAGTGGGGATTCCTCAACCAGCATGACAATCACAAGCAGGATTGTTTAGGCTTCATTTCAACCTTTTACATGATTTTAAAACATTCACATCTGTTACAAGCATATTTAAAATCACACTTAAGAATATTAGGGTGTATTATATATTATCATGCCCTGTTTTACTAAATATGGAAATACTGACTTCATAATGTCAAAAGCAAAAACATATTTTCCCCTCCACTAGCGTTTCAGCAAGGGATGTACACATCATCCTTATTCCTTTATAAATAATAATAAAAAAGACAAGGCTGTCAAAAAGAAGGGAATGGCTATAACTGGGATAGAAACCAGAGGTAGGCTAGGTTTCAATCCTTGTCCTTAGGAAGTTTGGGAGGAGACTGTTTGGGTAGGGGATTTTGGTTTGAGCCTGATTGCTAACATAAAATAGAGTCCACAAATGGAGGGAAAACATATTATTCAACATCACTAGGGAATAATGAGCTTGATTCAATGCTCCCCTGATTGAAGAAAATATTAATCCTCTCCATTAGATGTGTTCTATGTTTCTTTTTATCATATAAATTAAGCTAGACTATATGCAGCCAAAAATCTTACATTGTAACAAATAATGAAACCTGTCTTCAACAGGAAAGGAAGATATGCCTCTTCTATCTTCTCTTATATGCATCTTTGAAGTAAACCAAACAGTGGAGACTTCTTATACCTATTGAGCAGTTGTTTTTACAGTCAGCCAAGTCACAGAGTAGAGTAGATTGTTTGACCCTTATAAAGTCACAAGCTTTTTTTTTCTGATTAACGGATACAAGTAAACTCCTCATGATTTTATTTTTTTAATTCTTTAGGGAAAAAAAAGATATAAAAGGAATCTACCACATCTCTTTATAAAGAGGTCAAGTTATTAGAGGCAAGACTAAAAACGATCTTTAGCAAACAGGCAAGAAGAGCAACATAGTAAGAAATTCTTTCTATCCACATTATCTCCATATTTTGCTTAAGTTGTCTTTTGGTTAGGGGTGATCATCACTCACACACCAGCCAGTACCTACATACATTCGGCTCCCCATACAGAACAATCTCACAAATGTCTCAAAAACTGTATGGCTCCCAGTACAAAACCACTACTATTATAGAAGGAGTATCAGTAGCAAAAGAGTGTGAGAAATTCATCAATTTTAAACTTACCAAAGGGGTTTAACCTAGACTTGTCTGAATAGGTAGCATATACCATAGGATTCTTCCAGTTTCAGCTAGGAGATACCTGCCAGGCAAGGACTCCTGGATACAGTCATATTTGAAAAGGCAAACCATCCACACTACAAGGCCACAGTAATTCAGCAATGGAGGGAATTTCTGCGTGGGAATCTTGACTACATCATTATTTCCATCCTATTTTTCTCTGTTCTCTCCCTATGCCAACTTTGTAAACAGCAACAATCCTCAGTGCTGTGGGAAAACAGGCAAAGCTGATTTGCCCTGGTCAGTCAATCCCCTCTCTGCTCAACATACTTAAATAGGGGAGGGGGAAATCAGCATGCAGTAGGAACAGAGACTGATTTTAGGAGAAAATTATCTTCCTCATCAAAGATTTAAAGGAACTACTGCTCCCCCCAGACACACACACGCACACAGAGGAAGTCAAAAAACTATTTTTAAGTTGTCAATAATTGAACCATGGTCTTGATGTAGTGCTTCAGTGCACCGTTATCAAACCAAAGTGCAGAGCCAATTTTTCATGCCATGTTCTACCTTAAAAAAAAAAAGTGACTTCTGCCCACAGAAAACTTCCTAGATGTGCTAATGGGATGGAATGCACTGATCTGAACCCTAGGAAACAGTAACGTGCAATGGTTATCTGAGGTATCTTCCCATTTCTAGGTCTTACTGCTAAGATCAATTACATCCAGTAACTGTGCTGTATCCTTAAGGAAATTATTGGGCAATGGTGAACCTGCCCATAGTAAATGAGCACCAGTGCATAAAAGCACATGTGAACACTAGAGCAAGGTTCACTGAGGGGTGACCCTGGTCAGGACTGAAGCAGAGCTTTAACACCCTCTTTAAAAAAAAAAAATCTTTAAAAGGAAAAGGGGAGGACAAGAAAGAGGAAAGAAGATAGAAAACACAGGGTCCCCATCTGCCTGCAAATATACAGACAGACAAGCTCAGTTGGAAGTGGTGAAGGGAGCAGATGCATTATTGGTACTAGTAGCTGTGGCACCTGTTACTGTGAAGCCTGTGGGAGGAGCTATGGAGCTGTGGCTGGGCTGCAGGTCCTTGGGAATGCCACTGTGTGAGCTCAGCTGGTGGCCAAAGGCGGCGCTGAACTGAGGGAGTTGCTGTTTGGGGGAAGTGGAGGCCATTAGTTCAGCAGAGGAAGGACCCATGCCACTAAAACTGGTCTGTGGTAACCCCGGAAGCACACTGGAGCTGTTGGGGGTCACAGTGGCGAAGGCAGGCTGTGTGGTCTCTGAGTGCGAGGTGGTAGGTGGTGTGGAAAGGGAAGTGGAAAGAAGGTGTCCATCTGCACCAAGAAGGTTGCTAAATGGAGAGGGATCACCAAGATTGACAGGGAGATTTCCCCAGTGAGTTCTGGGGTTCACCACCCCACTAAGTGGCACATCCAGCTGCGTTGGGAGCAAGTGCTGTGCCATAATGGGCATCTCTGCTGAGAATGTAGCTGCCAAGTTATCACCAGAATAGGATGTGGTATGGGGGGATGTGATATGGTCGCTGTAGGGAGACGGCACATGCTCACTATCGTAATGGCTTCCATGGGGTGAGGAGTGTGAATGGTCACTGCTGTATTGCTGTCGTGAGGTGATTAGGTCATCTGCCTTGCTCAGCAGCTGGGCAGGGTGTGGCCTCTGGGAGGCATGGCTGCCATCATGAAGTCCATGAAACTGTCCTGGGAAGGCTCTCTCCCCAAGTCCACTCTGGCTTATCAGAGTGGCAGAAGTAAGGCCGACGTTGGCTGGGGCAGAGAATTGCCCCTGGATCTGCCCTGCCAGGGGCGTAGGTGGATTGGACAAGGTAGCAGAACGGAGCAAGTTTTCATCCAGCTCCAGACCGGAGAAATTATCATGTACTATGCGCCCATTCAACAGCTCCCCCAGGTCCGTGTTAACCTCTCGGCTCAAGGACTGGATTCCTGGAGCTCCAGCACCTGTGGAGAACACCCCTATCCCTCTATCTGATAGCTCCTGAACTGGCACACCATCTGTCTGTGTAAGTACTCCAATAGTACTTAGGCACTCAAGAGAAGTTACAGCCTGCAGGGCTCGTTCCAGTTCCTCTGCCTCCTCTGTAGTAGGAAGGAGGTCTCCATTTTTACCTACAGAAACAAGGACAGAAGTTAGTGTGTTCTTCACAAGTATATGTGACATTGTGATGCTAGGAATTCAGTTGTCCAAAAGTTTAAAAATGTGATACATTTTCAGACTGACTCATGGTACAGATGGGGAAAAAACCCTCTCCTATCAGAGGTATGAGGCAGAAAAATAAAAAGTCTTCTTGTTCTCATTGGGAAAGGTTTATCAATGTAAATGCTATACACTGGGCACATCTACATGTGCATTTAAGCATGTATTAATTTTTACATAAAATAAAATAAAATAAAATAAAATAAAATATCTACCTTCAAAGAAATCAAAATCTTGCAAATCGTCAGGCAGCCGTGGTAGGACATCAGAGAAGTCCTCCTGATTCAATTCCAAGTCATGTGGAATGTCTGTGATTTCATTGGCGATGTCATCAGGCAGCTCATCTGTACTCAACTCTGGTGTGGAGGGGCTCCTGGGGAAAGAATGTTGTTAGTTCCACTCTTCAGTCTTGGTGTCTCCGTACTGCAAGCCTGGTTTAATGGTAGATACCCATCTATTTAAGGGTCTGTCTGTTCTCTACTATATTCTCCCACTATTTTTTTGAAAAGCCAACCAGAAAGTATGTTGTTTGCACATGTTTCTTTAAAACTCTTACATTCTTCTAATGATTATGCATCTATACAATGCCCATGAATGGCAAAATAGTTTCTTCATTAAACCAAGCGCTAATTGCTGTATTATAGAAGGTATACTTTCCTTGAATGCTGTTGGGGAACTATATTAAAAGGCCATGTGAAACCTCAGGTGGAAAAATCTTAATTCCTGGAGAGACAGGAATGAAATGTCTGGCTACATAAGCCCCCAGTCCTTGAGCTTACTGCTTCCAGCATTACTTGGGTGGTGATCCTGTTAGGTGAACAGAACTCCAGTGAAATCAACAGGCTCTCTGTTGAAGTTGAGATTCACTTGCACAGAGCTCACTGAACATTTAGAAACTGAAATCCTAACTGCTTCCTAAACTGCAATGTCCTAAAGTTGATTACATTTAAATCTGTTGAACTGAAGCTGCAACTAACAACAATCTTGACCATTTCAGGAAAAATACACACGGATCTCTATTCTAATACATGCAAATGAAAAACTATATTTAAAAAGTGCAAATTTATTCCGCTCACTGAAAAATGTTATGCAGTTGATGTTTAGGCAGAAATCACCAAGGGATGCATGAAACTGAGATTTAAGGAGGGGATCTTTAAGCTGCCTTAAGGGAATTTGGGTACATAATTCTGGCTGATTTTAAACAGAAATTATTAATCTTAATTTCTTTAGGCAGTTTTGAAAATACCAGCCTAAACAAATTATTGCGTTACAGGCCAGGCTCTGTTCTAAGTTACACTGGTGTAAATCCACAGTAACTAAATTTGACTAAAAAATGTTCCACAATGCCTACCATCATAAATTGAAAAGAGAATCTGGCCTTTAAGCATGTTTTTCACTGTTTGAAAAAGTGGAGTAAGAAGGGCTGCTGCTGTTCCAGATCAAATTTTGATGAAATACAAACAGTATTTCATGGAACTAGTCACTTGAATCGGTTCACTTTAACATGCTGTAAAATAACTATAGGCAGATTTAAGAACTGACCTCTACATGTTTGTTCGCCCTTCTTTTTCAGCCAGTAATCCCAAACATTGAAGAAGGTATATGATACAGTGAGAAACATCTGCAAACAAAATATCTGTTTCCTCAGTAGTATGGGGGGCAGCACGCAAAAAAGGCAATACAGAAAAAAAAATCCAGTCAGCTTTGCTTCATTTCACAATACCAGTGGGGATTCCTCAACCAGCATGACAATCACAAGCAGGATTGTTTAGGCTTCATTTCAACCTTTTACATGATTTTAAAACATTCACATCTGTTACAAGCATATTTAAAATCACACTTAAGAATATTAGGGTGTATTATATATTATCATGCCCTGTTTTACTAAATATGGAAATACTGACTTCATAATGTCAAAAGCAAAAACATATTTTCCCCTCCACTAGCGTTTCAGCAAGGGATGTACACATCATCCTTATTCCTTTATAAATAATAATAAAAAAGACAAGGCTGTCAAAAAGAAGGGAATGGCTATAACTGGGATAGAAACCAGAGGTAGGCTAGGTTTCAATCCTTGTCCTTAGGAAGTTTGGGAGGAGACTGTTTGGGTAGGGGATTTTGGTTTGAGCCTGATTGCTAACATAAAATAGAGTCCACAAATGGAGGGAAAACATATTATTCAACATCACTAGGGAATAATGAGCTTGATTCAATGCTCCCCTGATTGAAGAAAATATTAATCCTCTCCATTAGATGTGTTCTATGTTTCTTTTTATCATATAAATTAAGCTAGACTATATGCAGCCAAAAATCTTACATTGTAACAAATAATGAAACCTGTCTTCAACAGGAAAGGAAGATATGCCTCTTCTATCTTCTCTTATATGCATCTTTGAAGTAAACCAAACAGTGGAGACTTCTTATACCTATTGAGCAGTTGTTTTTACAGTCAGCCAAGTCACAGAGTAGAGTAGATTGTTTGACCCTTATAAAGTCACAAGCTTTTTTTTTCTGATTAACGGATACAAGTAAACTCCTCATGATTTTATTTTTTTAATTCTTTAGGGAAAAAAAAGATATAAAAGGAATCTACCACATCTCTTTATAAAGAGGTCAAGTTATTAGAGGCAAGACTAAAAACGATCTTTAGCAAACAGGCAAGAAGAGCAACATAGTAAGAAATTCTTTCTATCCACATTATCTCCATATTTTGCTTAAGTTGTCTTTTGGTTAGGGGTGATCATCACTCACACACCAGCCAGTACCTACATACATTCGGCTCCCCATACAGAACAATCTCACAAATGTCTCAAAAACTGTATGGCTCCCAGTACAAAACCACTACTATTATAGAAGGAGTATCAGTAGCAAAAGAGTGTGAGAAATTCATCAATTTTAAACTTACCAAAGGGGTTTAACCTAGACTTGTCTGAATAGGTAGCATATACCATAGGATTCTTCCAGTTTCAGCTAGGAGATACCTGCCAGGCAAGGACTCCTGGATACAGTCATATTTGAAAAGGCAAACCATCCACACTACAAGGCCACAGTAATTCAGCAATGGAGGGAATTTCTGCGTGGGAATCTTGACTACATCATTATTTCCATCCTATTTTTCTCTGTTCTCTCCCTATGCCAACTTTGTAAACAGCAACAATCCTCAGTGCTGTGGGAAAACAGGCAAAGCTGATTTGCCCTGGTCAGTCAATCCCCTCTCTGCTCAACATACTTAAATAGGGGAGGGGGAAATCAGCATGCAGTAGGAACAGAGACTGATTTTAGGAGAAAATTATCTTCCTCATCAAAGATTTAAAGGAACTACTGCTCCCCCCAGACACACACACGCACACAGAGGAAGTCAAAAAACTATTTTTAAGTTGTCAATAATTGAACCATGGTCTTGATGTAGTGCTTCAGTGCACCGTTATCAAACCAAAGTGCAGAGCCAATTTTTCATGCCATGTTCTACCTTAAAAAAAAAAAGTGACTTCTGCCCACAGAAAACTTCCTAGATGTGCTAATGGGATGGAATGCACTGATCTGAACCCTAGGAAACAGTAACGTGCAATGGTTATCTGAGGTATCTTCCCATTTCTAGGTCTTACTGCTAAGATCAATTACATCCAGTAACTGTGCTGTATCCTTAAGGAAATTATTGGGCAATGGTGAACCTGCCCATAGTAAATGAGCACCAGTGCATAAAAGCACATGTGAACACTAGAGCAAGGTTCACTGAGGGGTGACCCTGGTCAGGACTGAAGCAGAGCTTTAACACCCTCTTTAAAAAAAAAAAATCTTTAAAAGGAAAAGGGGAGGACAAGAAAGAGGAAAGAAGATAGAAAACACAGGGTCCCCATCTGCCTGCAAATATACAGACAGACAAGCTCAGTTGGAAGTGGTGAAGGGAGCAGATGCATTATTGGTACTAGTAGCTGTGGCACCTGTTACTGTGAAGCCTGTGGGAGGAGCTATGGAGCTGTGGCTGGGCTGCAGGTCCTTGGGAATGCCACTGTGTGAGCTCAGCTGGTGGCCAAAGGCGGCGCTGAACTGAGGGAGTTGCTGTTTGGGGGAAGTGGAGGCCATTAGTTCAGCAGAGGAAGGACCCATGCCACTAAAACTGGTCTGTGGTAACCCCGGAAGCACACTGGAGCTGTTGGGGGTCACAGTGGCGAAGGCAGGCTGTGTGGTCTCTGAGTGCGAGGTGGTAGGTGGTGTGGAAAGGGAAGTGGAAAGAAGGTGTCCATCTGCACCAAGAAGGTTGCTAAATGGAGAGGGATCACCAAGATTGACAGGGAGATTTCCCCAGTGAGTTCTGGGGTTCACCACCCCACTAAGTGGCACATCCAGCTGCGTTGGGAGCAAGTGCTGTGCCATAATGGGCATCTCTGCTGAGAATGTAGCTGCCAAGTTATCACCAGAATAGGATGTGGTATGGGGGGATGTGATATGGTCGCTGTAGGGAGACGGCACATGCTCACTATCGTAATGGCTTCCATGGGGTGAGGAGTGTGAATGGTCACTGCTGTATTGCTGTCGTGAGGTGATTAGGTCATCTGCCTTGCTCAGCAGCTGGGCAGGGTGTGGCCTCTGGGAGGCATGGCTGCCATCATGAAGTCCATGAAACTGTCCTGGGAAGGCTCTCTCCCCAAGTCCACTCTGGCTTATCAGAGTGGCAGAAGTAAGGCCGACGTTGGCTGGGGCAGAGAATTGCCCCTGGATCTGCCCTGCCAGGGGCGTAGGTGGATTGGACAAGGTAGCAGAACGGAGCAAGTTTTCATCCAGCTCCAGACCGGAGAAATTATCATGTACTATGCGCCCATTCAACAGCTCCCCCAGGTCCGTGTTAACCTCTCGGCTCAAGGACTGGATTCCTGGAGCTCCAGCACCTGTGGAGAACACCCCTATCCCTCTATCTGATAGCTCCTGAACTGGCACACCATCTGTCTGTGTAAGTACTCCAATAGTACTTAGGCACTCAAGAGAAGTTACAGCCTGCAGGGCTCGTTCCAGTTCCTCTGCCTCCTCTGTAGTAGGAAGGAGGTCTCCATTTTTACCTACAGAAACAAGGACAGAAGTTAGTGTGTTCTTCACAAGTATATGTGACATTGTGATGCTAGGAATTCAGTTGTCCAAAAGTTTAAAAATGTGATACATTTTCAGACTGACTCATGGTACAGATGGGGAAAAAACCCTCTCCTATCAGAGGTATGAGGCAGAAAAATAAAAAGTCTTCTTGTTCTCATTGGGAAAGGTTTATCAATGTAAATGCTATACACTGGGCACATCTACATGTGCATTTAAGCATGTATTAATTTTTACATAAAATAAAATAAAATAAAATAAAATAAAATATCTACCTTCAAAGAAATCAAAATCTTGCAAATCGTCAGGCAGCCGTGGTAGGACATCAGAGAAGTCCTCCTGATTCAATTCCAAGTCATGTGGAATGTCTGTGATTTCATTGGCGATGTCATCAGGCAGCTCATCTGTACTCAACTCTGGTGTGGAGGGGCTCCTGGGGAAAGAATGTTGTTAGTTCCACTCTTCAGTCTTGGTGTCTCCGTACTGCAAGCCTGGTTTAATGGTAGATACCCATCTATTTAAGGGTCTGTCTGTTCTCTACTATATTCTCCCACTATTTTTTTGAAAAGCCAACCAGAAAGTATGTTGTTTGCACATGTTTCTTTAAAACTCTTACATTCTTCTAATGATTATGCATCTATACAATGCCCATGAATGGCAAAATAGTTTCTTCATTAAACCAAGCCATTAATGAAATCTGGAATTAACATTTTCCCATTCTTCCTTGCAGCTCCTCCTTTGTACTCACAGAGATGCCAAGATACCTGAATGTATCCATTATTTAGAAAAGTAATTTATTAAGTGGTTGGGGAAAGAAAAACTACCCTTCCTATCAAACCAAAATCAAGATCAAGACATTGGAGCCTAGGGCCGCAGCCACACAAACAGAGAATTGATTCCCCAGGGAATGCCTGTAACATGCGCCTTCTGGCACACAGTAGGTTACCCTGGACAGGGTAGGGGAGGCTGGGGCTAGCACTGGGCTGGCCTCAGCAGCCTTACCTGGGGTCTTGGGGGCTCCCGGGGCTGCAGCAGCAGTGATCCTGCCACACAGTTCATAGCTGGCAGCTGCAGTGTGGCGTGGCTCTGGCTGGCCAGGCTCTGGTTTTGAGTGGTCCACGGTGTTCCCACATGCGCTGCTCTGCCTTTTTTTCATCAGGTTTTTTTGACCCCTGGATATCCAAAGGTCAAAAAACCCCACAAAAAACAAAGCCCCGCACTGCTCCCTTGCAGCGCAGAGAACAGCTTAATGCATGGTATGTGGCACTGCAGACATGTCATAGGTACCCAACTTTTCAATGAACCAGACACTGAACAGCATACCAACTCTGACATTTCCTCTGATATTTAATATAAAATTAAAGTTAAAATAAATTAAATGAAGCTGCTGCTGCTGACCGTATGCGAGAGATCTCTACTGGCAGTGAGACGCTGGTGGGCATGCTGAGGTTCCCTTGGGGCACTGCAGGAGGAATGGGTTTCTGGGGCCGACGTGGTCCCCGCCTTCTCTTCTTTTTGTGTTTTTTGGTAAGTGCAGGTGGCTTGGTTTTTTTCCTGGGTTTCCTCTGCTGCTGGTGCTGAACTTTGCGGGAGCTGTCCCCTCTCAAAAAATTGTCCTGATAGAGACAATGAGAGAAAAGGGAATATTTTAGGAACAAACGCAACCATCTTCAGCCTTTTCTTGCCATCCCAAAACGTCTACAATTTGAAGAGGAACTCTCTAGCTGCCATCAGGCATGCTCAAGCAGGAATATGAAAATCAAGTTGTGTTCTTTCTGTCTTTGGCATCGTCACCAACAGCAGACAGCACAGGTGACAGGAAGGGAAAATGGAACAAGGTTGTTTCTCAATCTCAGACTGGATGAGAAGGGTTGGCAGTCTGAACAACAATATCCTATGGACATCAGAGGTAGAGCAAATATGGAAATCTACAATGTCACTTTTTAAAGACTTTTTTGAACTAAAACTACAGTGTGGTGCTTACACAATCCAAATTAAAAATTTGAAGCACCCTATAGAAACATTAAAGAGAGCGACCTGCTGGCCAATTATAAAATAAAGTGCCATTTTGCTGGCTATGAAGTGAGTTATACTCAGTCTCCAAGTGCAATTATGATGGCTGCAACAAAGAGCTTTGAAGTGTTAAGCAGAGAGAAATGAAAGGAAGAAAATCTTCAGGCCTTTGGCAGGGGAACTGAGGATTACCTAAAATAACCCCCAAGCCCTGGACTGAAACGTAAATTTCCATATTAAACTAATAAAACACAGAGGAGGCCTTAGAGTACAAGGCAGCCTACAAATAGTTTTCCTAAAGGAAAAGTAATAGTGTTCCTAAATAGTTTTTTTGAATTCTCAAAAAAAAAAAGTAGGGGAAGGCAAAAAAAGTAGGGGAAGGCACATAGATTGTCCTAACAATGTTTAATCTTTTGTGGAGAGGCGAAGGAGGAGGAGATTGGAAAAATGGAAACATCTTCTCAGCTCTACTAACCTTGATTGTCTCTTGGGCTCTAGCAAACACAAGACTGAAGTAATGATTCCTGTAGTAGCATGTCCATACGCCTTAGCCATGAGTAATATATCCCAGAATTCTGGGTAATGGCTAGGTCAGTTCCTACCCCATAACCCTCCACTATGGTATATTTTTAGAAGTCCTATCCTTGCATACCCAAAGCAGTAAGATATTAAAAATTCATGTTGTACCCTTTGGTACATTTGGGCATTTTTTTTTAAACAAATGTTTGTAAATCCAATCCAGCTTGCCAATAGGCCACAGTTCACAAAAGCACTGAGTTAAACAGAACAGAATTTAATACCAATTAAATAATTGTTGCTTTAGTTTGTACTTACCATTTTTTTGGCATGTTCTTCACACAAAGGTGTCTGATGTGTAATGTCAAAAACTGGCACAGAGCACTGTTGCCCATCTGCAAACTTGGCTGTGCAACTTGAGAAGAGCTGCTGAGAACGATTCAATAGGATATCTATGCATTTCTGTGTCAGGAACAACACACCAGCAGTGACAGAGGAAAGCCATTTGATTTGTCATTCTAATAAAAAGCTTTGAATTGTATTTGCCTGTCAAAATGCTATTTTTAATGGTGTATCTTATTTAAGTTCAAAGCAAGGTAAGGCTCCAACCCAACTTTAAAGCAAAAAATTACATTAATGCAGAATTGGTAATGACTTTATCATATATTAGAATGGGTTTATGGAAGCAGCTATTTCACTAATGAGTTCTTAGTTTTAAAAAAGTCCCTTTCCTGGAGACTCTTAATCAATAGATCAATAGTGTTGGTTGGAGCAATGTAGTCAAAGGGACTATTTCCTTACTGTCTAATGACAATTCATAGTGAAACATTAAAAAAAAAGGCATTTCTTAATTTCATTCTTTAAGGTAAATTCTTGGCATTTATCTTCAGAGAACACAGACATAAGTAGTTTTAAGATCCTTCCTGCTCTTCGGAAAAAAGATGTGCAATCAGATAGAAAAGGTCAAGCGAATTTAAACTTAAACTTGCAAAGATTTATCTCAGAAAAATCATACGCACGTCAGAATATATTTCTAGACTTACAGTAAGTCAAATACATATTTTATCGTATCTTTTCAAGTAACATTAGCAGGCCTCTTCCCTCCCAAGTAGCTCCTACTCAAACTGAGGCTAACATTACCACCACTGTAGGCCTGCAGGGAGAGAACACTGAAAAGCAAAAAAATACTGAAGGGAAAGTGCAAACCCTAAGAAAGGGAAGGACTTGGATGGATGGGGCAGGAACCAAGCATCTCCAAATGGTGGAGATGATGAGACAAAAGGTGCAGAATCAGAAAGTTCTCTATTTTTCTGCACTGGATTCACTGCAGAGTTATATTTGGGTACAAGTGGATTTCTTTTTTTAAAAAGAAATTACAAACACCGCCTGTCAGCACAGGGTCAGACTACTCAGCTCTGATGCAGGTACCTAAATCAAGCAGACCAGCACACAGCAGCTGTCTGTGGGAGCAAACAGGAGCAGTTAGGTGCTGAGAATTTCTAAAACATCTGCTGCTTATTTAGATGGCTAAGTGGAGCCCTTGGATGCAACACTTCTGAAAATTTGGGCCCAGATTATCTGTCTAGTACTTGCCTCCACATTTAAATTCTTGTTCACAGAGCTCAATACACTTAAAGTGGGGGTGTCAAACTGTTTGGCCCACTGGATTACCAAAAAGCTACTAGAAGTTGAGGCATATAATCTGCTGCAGAATGTGTGGCCCTATAGTCCCACTGGCCTTGGCCTTCAGCAGCAAGCTTGACTCATTGCCGCAGCTGCCCTGAACCCTTGTTGTGCCCCTGGACTTCATGCCTGGACCCACTACCACACCCTGGACTCCCACCACTGCCAGACCTCTGTCTCCAGACCCCTCACTGCCTCTGTACCTGCCACTGCTGTGGTGACCATGGCAGCCACCACTGTGTCCTGGGCTGGAACTAGCCCGCAAGGAACCTGCAGTCTGTATCTGGTCCGGGGCCCAGGTGAGTTTGACACCTCTGATTTAGGCAACCGTTGATATTTCTGAATCATGGTGTATGCATGAGAGGTTACCCAGACCTTCCACACATAAGCCTAGGCAGATGTATGAAGAAGTGGAGGCTGCTCAGATCTTCTATCCCCACTTTAAACCATTGAGACACAATCTAGACTGAATCTAGACATTCAGTGTCTTGATGGCAGGCAAGGATTCTACCACTGAACCACAACAGCAGGTTACCCCTGATTTAGAGCTATAAATAATAGCAGCGTGCACTGTAATCTGCAGCTATTCCAGCAGTGAGCAGCCTGGCCTGCAGGTCTGCACTGCATCTCTGGGAACAAGTTAACTGGACTATCTACTCTTCACCTGCTTCTACCATGTGAAATTTTGCAAACCGCATGGAAGCATCAGCTGTTTTCAGATATACACATAGATCTGGCATGGGATGGAAGTTCTGCTGTCCAAGAATATTACAGTGTATCAACAAAACTCCATACATTATGCTTATCATCCAGAGATATTAAAGTAATAACCAACCTCATTTTATAGATAGGATAGCAGAGACACCAGAGGCAAAGGTGATTTACCCTTATAAAAAGTCTCAGAGAAAACTAGTAAGCTCAACTGAATCATGGAGATTTTAGAACTGAATACCGATGTCAAGACTGTGTTCTTGGATGCTTTCATGCTGCCTAAATAAACTACTAGGCTGTGTCCAGATATACATGGACATTTGATTCCCTGGGAACAAATACTGGTGGCACACCAAGCGCTGCCACTAGTCGTCCCTGGGGAATGCCTGTGTCATGCATGCTCTGATGCACAGCAAGTTGCCCCAGGTGGGGTAGGGGAGGTTAGGGCCAGCACTGGGCTGGCCCCAGCCAGCTAACCTGGGATCCTCCTGGGGCTGCAGCAGCTGCGATCCTGCTGCGCAGAGCCTGGCCGGTAGTGGAATACAGTTCTGGCCAGCCAGGCTCCAGCTTTGGGTGATGCACACTGCTGCCGTATGTACCACTCTCCTTTTTTCAGCAGATTTTTCTGACTCCTGGATATTCAGGGGTCAAAAAAAATCCTCCACGCTATTCCCTTGCAGCACAGAGAACAATAGAACATGCAGTATGTAGCAACGCAGACCAGTCTGCTGCGCCACATACCGCACAGCTGCGCTCGTCTGGATGCAACCCTAGTGTCCTACCGATTGCTTTGACTCAATATCTTAAAAAGCTGTGTTATTAAGGGCCTAGCTGGGCCAAGTACTGCCTATGATTTTTGTCTTTCTGCAGGAATGGACTAGTTTTTAGAAATCTTTTTATATTAGGTCAGTCTTTTATATATCACAGTTTTAGATACTTCGCTTCTGTCTCACTCATTTAGATCTTTTCTTCCCTGTGTGTCCATCCCTCACCCATGACATTCTGCAGGAACCCTTCAGTACCCCAAGGGACTGCAAATTCACATCTCTGGTAAGCAAAGGAGAAAAGAAAGCTGCAAAAAGACACATGGGAATTTTGTTAAATAAGAAAATGAACAAACTTGAGGGCCACAAAATGTAGGGAAGGAAGGCAGCCTGCCTAGTCTCTGGGATCAGACTTGCAATCTTAGTTTGCTTTTTAGAGGACTTCCCCTTTTCTGGGGACCTGGCCTCTGTAGGTCACATTTTTAAGACTTTTCCCTTTGAAATCCCCTTCATTCATCTACAGATTCTTCCTTTCCCAGACACCAGGACTCACGTTCTATCCCTCTCATTTCCTCCAGACCAGAAGTGTCAAACACGCTGCCCGTGCACTGTATCTTTCAGAACCATTCCAGCTGGCCCACCAGTAGTCCAACAAGCTACCAAAATTTGCAGGGTGGATGGAGCTAGTACAGCACAGCCTGCTGCAGAATCGGCGTCCCTGGGCCCCTTGCTCACCCTGCCACTGCCAGATCTGTGCCGCTACCTGACCTATGCTGGGCCCTGGACCATCAGCAGTTGCTGCTTGCCACATTAAACCAACCTTGGAGGAAGCCCTGTGGTCGGGATCTGGTCTGGGCCCTGAGGTGAATTTGACACCCCTGCTCCAAAGTACTATATTTTAGCTTTATATCTACTCTATATTCCTCTCCTCCCCCATCCCTAATTTCTACTTATATTGTTGGATCATGTAAGAGTAACCAGTTGTTCTATAGAAAACATTAGCAACTGCACAGTAGCCATGTTGACTGCATCTTCCCACCAATGAATGAGATCATCTCCATAAGGCTGCTGACACCCACCAAATTTAGACACAGAGAGCATAACAACAGCCTAATATATCAATGACTTGAACTATATGTTGGCTGTCCCCTGTAAATAGATCACATTTTACACTGCTCTAAATCCATGATTCATTTTAAGTAATTTGCATATTAGTGTGAGACATTAGCAAATAAGCATTTCTGCTACCAAATCACCTGCCACTGCCTAAAAATCTGAAAGCAGGCTGCCAGTCCAAAACGCACATTGAGGGGAATGAAGAGGATACGTTGAAAACAATGCCTGGTGAATGGAAGGGCCTTGTTAGTGCACTGTTCACCCTTCACAGTTCCACTACATGTTGTTGGTTCTGCATCTCTCTGCTTGGCTTGGCTTGTGCTGAAACAGAAGCATATTACAAGATGTAGTTAAAAGAAATCCAATCCCAACAGATATCCTAGCATAACCAAACCACTAATGATGGCAAAGTGAATTACAGCTTCATAACCTATATGGCTGGTTATACATTTGCAAGGTCTACAATCTAGATTTATAGTTTTATTTACACTCTGGAGCTAGATAGAAGACAGGTGCCAACAACGAGCAAAATTGGACACTGTGGAGCAATACCTGTATTGAATGAAGTAAGCAGGATACCACAAGCATTTTGTGCTAGGCATCTGATACAGTAGCTCCCTAAACCTAACCAGAATCCTCCAGGTACTACTGTGGTATTTAGAAAACAATGCTGCGCTTACCATAGGTGAAAGTCACCTCATTCACATAAGGGTTATGCACTGCTAATGTTCTGGGTTAGCCCTTAAAATAAGACATGCTGATACCTCACCCTTGGTGGACAGCAAATTTCACCTCATATTCATACTACTCTCTAGGTTGCCTGAAGGGTCATTATTGACACTCTCACTGTTTATCCTTTGCTGTAATCTCTGTTGACTGTTTTTTTTTGCCAGTTTACAAAAATAAAAATTTAGGAAAAGATATTATCCTAAAAACCAACCTGAAGTATCTGACATTACAACATCCAACTTCTGCACTTTATATGATCAGGTCAGAAACGGATGATCTCTGTTTACTTTGCTGGACTGCCCCGACCCAATTTATTTGTTGCTCATTTTTTAATTCATGTTATTATGCAACTAATCTATTCACTAGAGTAGGTTCTATTTAGTTTGCCAGATAATCTCACCAAATTATACTGAATCAACTCAAATTCTGGCAAGGTTTAGTTTATAATTTCAGTTTGGAGACGCACTTTTATTTTTAAAATCTTAGTTATTAATTGCTTTATTAAACTGGCCCTAAGTTGCCTTTCTAAAATGGAAGCCTCTACTTCCTGCCATAGTAAGTCACCCACCATCATAAACCAGAACCCTTAGTCTTTACTCAGTCCTACAGAAACAAAGAGCATCCTGGATCCAGGGGGCCCTCTATAGACAGGCTAAAAGCTCCTTTAAGCTTAGTGTGGCTTGCTCCTGCCCCATGCATCCAACACCCCTCCCAAGGATGTCATATGTCCTGGTGAGCAAAGCTAGAACCAGCAGAGGGAAAACTGCTGGTACCGAAGACCGAACACCAGGGTTTGCACTTATTCTGCCTCCATACAAGTCACATGCACAGAACCAAACAATACCATGCATGCCAAGAACTGGAGGGATATTGACATTATTTAGAAAGAATTCCTAGAGGGTAGCCTTCAGAGCTGTTAGATGATATTTGTTCCATTGTTGATTTTCATTTAAGGTACCAGTGTTTATGACAGAAGGTACACAGAAGGCATAAGAAAGAGCTGTTTTCCCTCAATACAAAAAAGAAATCTGAAGCCAAAAGACTAGGTGGTAAGTTACAATGCAAAAATCAGTAAAAACAACAAATGCATTTTAGTGGGGCCTGGTCTAATCCTAAATCATTAAAATGGCATGTGCCTGTGTGTGCACATGTGCTGAACAAAGGATCCATTTTTCACAGCTAAAAAGTGCCTAGCCTTATGGAACACACAGAATATGTTTCATTTACTCTATGTTGTTGATATGTCAAGGGCATTTTGCCTTCCATATATAGTGTCAGCAAAGATATCTGATTGAACATTTTAACTTAGCATGCTTATCTCACCACTGATTTTTGCTTTGTCTTGCTTAAGATACTACTTCAAACATGCTGAAGGGCGATGCCTCTCACCTGGTCCGAGTACATGTAGCTCTCCGAATTTCATGTATCAGCTGCCCAGCATTATCCGGCTCTCTGCTGGCCGCCTGCAGCAAGGCTTTCCGGAGTGTATGCCGGCATTTCTTCTGACGAGATTCTGCCCGCTCCAGGCGGCAGAGGTGCTTATATTTCTGCTGAAAGTAAGTGCAAAGTCGGGTCACCCTGGAACTCCTGCTATCTGCATCATCATCATCTGACCTGTGAAGATGGAGGGGAAAACACACAACAGACAGTCTTTTGTGAAAAGAGGATACCTTGTAATTGTCTCAGAAATTATTAAACAAGTGTCTGCCTTTTAATTCCACACATAGCCAAAGGCTAAAAATTGTCATGGATATTTTCCCTAGGAGAAACTCAAACAGTTCTAAGAGCAGAATTCTGTTTGAATGTTAAAGGTACTTAACCTTCTTAGTATGTCATTATTAGAGCTTACATCAATTTATCATCGAGTCTGACACATTTAAATGTCTGGGAGCCTGCTGTTAAAAAAAACTCTATACTGTTAACCTTTATTTACTGTAAATGTCTCAGCAAATGAGGCCATAGCTTAAATCAAGAGGCAGTTATGGGAGAAATGGAGGTGGGGAACCACACAATGAAAATTCATTGAAGAAAGGTCATGCTAGAGAAGTATGCTTGAATTCTACAACTGTAGTACCAAACCAGGTGACCTTTTCTTAATGTCTGATACTTTGCTGGGTGCTGTTTTCTCTCAGTTTCTCCAAACCAATGCATAGACACATAACCAAGACGCATAACCAAAGTTCTGCTCTCATTTTCACTGGGTATTACTGTATTTTCTTGCATACAACATGCCCCCGAATAAATCACTCACCTTATTTCTAGAAGGCATAATGTGGAAAAGAGATTTTTCCAGAGTCATCACCAGAAAAACACAGAAACACCATTCCATTTCCCACAGAAAAACACAGATTTTCTCCTTTAAAGGAGAATATCATGGAGTTTCCTCTTTAAAGGAGAAACTCAGGAAACTATGAGTTTCCCCTTGCAGGCTGGCAGAGCTCCAGCTTGCAATGAGCTGCTTGGAGCTGGGGAAAGTAGGAGGGCGATCAGAGACAGGGGACACAATGTGCATGCACGTGGCCAGCAATACAGCCAGGCAGTGTGGTGGACAGCAGCTGTCACAGCTCCCTGAAGGCAAGTCTATGGGGGGCACAGGCAACACATGGGGAGCAGGGGGTATAGGTGACATGTGGTAGGGTGCAGCGAGGGGCACAACTTGTGGGGAGATTGAGGTGGCGGCAATAGCTCATGCTAAGCCCACACAGTGAGGGAGGGAGTAGGCCAGAGTTAGCAGTTGGGGGCACACCCCAGTTGAGGTGGTATATGATGCCCAGGGCTGGGGCTGGAGCAAGTGTGAATGCACAGCCATTGGGCCCAGCTGGGTTGCAGGACAGAGCCACAGGCAGCTCATCCCAGAATGAGGGCCGGCTCCCTGCCACTGTGCACACTCCCACTCATGCGGAGAAGTCACACTGATAGGCAACCTGTTGGGAGACATTGGGGTGAACATGCCACCCCAAATTTGTCACCACAGTGGGGCATAGGGCTGCAGCCTGGCCAGACTGGCACTAGGTAGGAGCTTCCTCCGCGGCCCAGTGGGTAGGAACCGGCACAGGAGGACGAAGCACGGTGAGGAGGCTCAATGCCAGCAAAAACACTAGGAGCACCATAATGGCTGTCAAAGTGAGGCGCCGCAGTGTTGTGCCCCTCCCACTGCAGCAGCAGATAGAGGGCACCTCACCTTGGCAGCCATGGCCTTACCATGGCACCAAGCCTTCCCAGCCTGCTCTGCTCTCCCCACACAGGTCCTGCCTGCTGGGCTACGGAGGCAGCTCCTGCCCAGTGCTAGTCCAGCCAGTGCATCCCCATGTCCCATTGTGGGCACAGAAATCTGGGGCAGGGGTACATGCCCCCACCATGTTGCAAGAGCAGGCTGAGAGGTGATCTTGTGGCTGCCTATAAATTCATCAGGGGAGGGCAGCAGGGAATAGGAGATGCTCTGTTTACTAGGGCACCCCCTGGAGTAACTAGGAACAATGGCCACAAATTAATGGAGAGCAGATTTAGGTTGGACATTAGAAAGAACTTCTTCACAGCAAGGGCTGCCAGAATCTGGAATGGGCTTCCAAGGGATGGGTGCTCTCCCTTACCTTGGGGGTCTTCGAGAGGAGGCTGAACAAACACCTAGCTGGGACTGTCTGACCCCAGCGCTCTTCCCTGCCCAGGACAGGGGCATTGGACTCAATGACCTACTGAGGTCCCTTCTGACTCTAATATCTATGAATCTATGTCCCTGCGATGCATCGCCTATGGCATCACCTATGCCCACAAACCTCCTGCCCCACACATCTGCCCCCTGTCCCACACACTACAGGGCTGAAGCCTGTGGGTCATGAGTGAGGAGCACCATTGGAAATGGGGCTCTGTGGGTTGAGAGTGAAGGACACCAGCAGGACTAGCGGGTGAGGGGGCTTTGGGTTGGGAGTGAGAGGCAACAGCATGGGCAGGGGCAGGATACCACCATATCATGGGGGCTCGGCACAACAAAGCAGCAGGGGGGGAAAAGCCACAACTAGACCCACATCCTGGCGAGCAAAGAGGGCAGGTGATGTTCTGATACTCCATGATAAAAACCTCAAAAATCAAACACCAAAATACATATTTATTTAGAATTAATTTTATTATAATGACTGAGGCACTGGCAGGCACCCAAACTGCTTTCAAATTGTAAATATATCAAGAAAACATTGTGTTCAACTGATACATATGTTCACAGACACGCACACACACACTATCCAACTGCCCATCAAGAATGATGGGGAGGAGCAGGCAGGGATAGAGCCCCGTGTCCGCCCCCACATCCGGGTCCGCTCCCCACCTTCCCTCCTGTCACTTGGGGTCTGGGCCCACTCCCTCCTTCCCTGCGACAGAGCAGCGGGCCTGAGCCGACATGGCGGAGGTGTGGGGAGGGGAGGAGCGGGATTGGGGCTAACACGGGAGGCGTGGGCCTGGGCCCAAGGAGGCCTGCTCCTCCCTTTCCCCTGCCGCTGCCACACCAGGCTGGGCTGGCTTCTCCACCCCCCATTAGGCCCAGTCTATCCCCACAACCCCCTGCAATGGGCCCAAGCCTGCTCCTCTGTGTGTTCTGTCCCCAGTCCCTCCCCATGGTCCCATTATTAGGGGCAGCAGGCGTGGTCAGACGCGTCCAGCCCCACCCCAACTTCTTGTTAGGGACTGTTCCCTCTTCTCCCCGCCTGCTGTGCTGCATCTGGACCCATTTTCCCCCCCTCAGTCCCCTGCCGCCTCATGTGGGTGGGGGGAACGGGAGGCCAGTGCTGCTGGCTTCACTCCCCCATGCCATTCCCTCCACCTTAGGGCTGCTTTGGGGCCGGGTGGCCATCATGGGGGGCGCATGTGGGGACTGAACCCCGTGTCCGGCACTGACCCCACTTCTCCTCTGGCCAGGGGGAACGGGCCCGAAACCCCCACCCTCCCCACATGCTGCTTTGCGGCTGGGCCGCTATCATATGGGGGGGGGGGGGGAACAGGGCCGCTCCTCTCCCCCTCCCCACCTGGCACTTCGGAACCAGACCAGGCCCACTCCCCTGCCGCTTCGGGGCTCTTTGTTCTCTCCACCCTCCTCCATCACCTGGGGGAGACCAGGCCAGCTGAGCTGGCCTCACCCCCCACTCTGTCCCCTGTGTCCCTGCTGTCATGGCAGTGCTCCACCAACCCGTCTCCTGTCCCAGTACTCTTGGAGCACTCTAACTGGCTGTTTCAGTCAGCCAATCAGAGTGTGAATGGAGCATTATGGACAGACAGACAGGCAGACAAAGACTTTTATAATATTAGAATATATTTTAATATTATAAAAGCCTACGTCTGTCTGTCTGTCTGTCCATAACACTTTATTAGTGCTCTGATTGGCTGTGTTGGAAGCCAATCAGAATGTCCTACACAGACAGGGGCAGACAGCAGAGCACCACCATGACAGCGGGGACTGAGGGGCCGGAAGGGAGGGGGGCGACCTCACCCCCCTCCCTTGCTCCTTGGAGGCAGAGGGGGACAATGGGGACTGGAGCACACTGGCCCTGCCCCCGCCCCCCGGGTCTGCTCCTTGGAGCCAGAGGCCGGTACACTCCCCTCCCGCCCAACAACAGCTGGCAGGGAAGGGAGGCAGTGGGGAACAGGGGAGGGAGGGGAGCAGGAAGGGAAGGGTGGGTTACTGGTGGTTGTGCCCTGCTGCCACCGCAAACGTCACTGTGGTCATGGGCTCTGGCCTGAAGCGGCAGGGGGAGGCAGGGAGCACCCCGGCCCGAAGTGGCGGGGGGGAATAGCCCTAGCCCTGATCCAAAGCAGTGCGGGGGGGAGGGGGAGAACGGCTCGGGCCCCAACCCCGACGCGAAGCAGCGGGAGGGAGGTGGGGAGTGGCTCTGGCCCCAACCCTGGCCCGAAGCAGTGGCGGGGGAAGGCGGGGAGCAGCCCTGGCCCTGGCAAAAGCAGTGGGGGAAGGGGGGAAATGGCCCAGGCCCCAGCCCAAAGCAGCGGGGGGGGTGGTGCGCGGCAGGGAGCAGCCCTGGTCCCAGCCCTGGCCCAAAGCGACAGGGCAGAGAGGGGGAATGGCTCCGGCCCCAGCCCTGGCCCAAGGCAGGGGGGGAAGGGACACAGGCCTCTGTCCCTGCCCCTCCCCCATCATTCTTGATGGGCAATTGGCTAGTGTGTATGTATATTTATATATATTATACAAACAGACCCACGCGCCAATTGTTTGTCAAGAATGACAGGGGGCAGAGGCAGGAGGGGGGGCTGGGATGGAGTGCCGCCACCTAACGCCCCATTCTGCCTCTTGCAGGGAGCGGGGTGGGCTCCCCCACCCCCTGTCCAGTCCTTAGCGCTGCTTGCAGAATGCTCCTCTACCCTCTGTCCGGTACTCGGCACAGTTCTGGAATCATGGCAGTGCTCCTCCACACTTGGAGAATTCTGATTGGCTGTTTCCATCAGCCAATCAGAGCGTGAATAAAGCATTACAAACAAATTTAGGCCATTATTATTTTATTTTTATATATATATATATATATATGAGGAGCGTTGCGGAAAAACATGGATTTGGGGGTTTTTAATCAGATAATTTGGGGGTTTTATAAGAGAACTTTGGATTATTTTTATCAGAGAAA